AGTTCCTTACCGACTTTGGTTCCACCTCCAAAGGAGCATTCAGCAAAAGTCTGGGCGGCAAAGGAGTTGGGCACATCGACTCCTTCGAGCTCAAGGGTCCTAGATGTATCCTATGGCAATCTCACGGAGACCGCCCATTCACCTCGGCCTTCAGAAGAGCCTCAAAAGGACTGCCCGGAGCCAGAAAGCTCATCAACCATTACTAAAACGAAATACTGCAGTTCAAGTCCCATTATATGGGAGGCGACCTCGAGCAATGCCCTCAGAGACTTCCCCTCAACGTCATTTCATAAAGATCCTGAAAATAACCGTTCGCTGAGATCAGTGCCTTATGCGGATCACCGAATGCCGTCTCCCGAACCGAATGACGTCTGGGGAGATGATGAAAATGAGGAGCCCCCGCTGGGTCAAATGGAGCCAGATTTTGAAGACGTCCTCTCTTCCTATCGTTCCATTCCGACGACGTCAATGAGCAGCGGAGTCTACAGTATTCAACAGGCGACTCGGGAGCGCAACATCGAGTCCCTTTGCCGTTCTTTTGACTACTATTCCCATACTAAGGTTCGACCCTACGACGATGCGGAAGCCTTTTCGCCACTGGATTTCATAGCTCCGTCACGGACCACCACACCTTTCCTTGAGTACGCCAGTCCCTACAGGCGAAAGATGAGTGTAATTGACGAAAGCCCGGAGGCACTGCAGAGAAGTTCTAGCGAAGAACGACCACCATCGGCAGGACCGCCTCCCCTCCCAGGTACTGAAGCGCCTCAGAGGGCGTCAGCGATGACAATGCATCGGAGGACAATATCAACGTCAAGTTCTGAGACCAGAAATGGAGGCGATCAATTCAACGGCAGATCCTGAAGATTACTAGGATTCCTACGTTGCTTGAACACTGCCATGCCTGAGCAGTCAAGAGAAGCCGTTTTTCCGAGAGCCAAACCGGCGATTAATCACCGGGAACAGACGCGAGCGGTCGCGAGGCTTGCATATCCGACGGAATGGACACTGGAGCGTGGACACATCAGTCGATCGATATTCATCAACTCGCAGCAAAGCTGGTTGAGGGAATCACACAGTGGCGCGATTATGCCACGTCATATCTGCTTGTCTGCGTTCTCTCACCAAAGAGAAAATTGGCGAATGCCCATTCTAGGCTCCAAAAAAGACGCAGACTGACTATGATACACAGTTATTATCACAGAATTTAATCGGGGCGTGCCAGGGGCGCAAAAGTCCCTTTCCGACCGCACATTGAACGCCCGAAGTGGCAACGATCGAGGAAAAAGCTGGTGCCGCGCCAAAACTTCCGCGCTGCTGATACGCCCCGACTGAAAATGACTCTAGCCATAGTAGCGCCGTCGTGTGTGTTCCTCCCCTCCCCCCCTCTCTACTACCATGGCCCCAACTTCATCCTATTTTAGCCCAGTCTATCTAAATATTTGTGACTAGCCATAACATGACTTCATCACCAAATATGGCCACTGAGATTTGAATCAATTATTGATCGCTATGCCTTATTTGGTCCCAGTGCCGTTAATGCCCGCACATTATTGATCAGACTAATGAGCTTAACCGTACCTGTACGCTTTGTATATTTGTCTTATCAGACTCCTCTGCATCTATGACTCACGTTTCCCTCATTTTCTGGTACTTTTACAGTTATCGATCGAGTTCTCCGACCGTCTGAATCTCACTGTAATCTCCTTTTGTTTTCAATTTCGAGATAAATATTGATTAATCGATTCTAGGAATCGTTGAAGGGCTAAGTAAACCAAAGGAAAGTTACTGAGAAACGGATCTTTGAAAAAATTTTTATTTTAAAGATATATTACAGTAATTGAATAATGTAACAGCAAGTGAGAATGAAAGAAACGTGGTATGAAAGAAAGAAGACATTGAGGAAAAAACCCGACGGAATCAGCTGATAATGCACAACGACGGTAGAGGGGGGGGGGGGGAGTGGCGATAAGATTCTGGAAATTTCTATACTCGGCGACGAGCGGCTGGCGTTCGCTGGTTGGCAGCGCAGCAGTTCGCGATGCGGTCAGGCTGCAGATGAGATAGCGTTCATTTGGAGGAGACGGAGAATGGTAGATGAGCGCAGCGTCTTCTCTTTGGCATGGGACCATTGAAGACGAGGTGTCGGTCAGGAGGTCCATGCGGCATCAGGGGGAACTGCGTCATGATGCAAGCGCTACACTACATTCGCACCAGGACCCAATCTACTCAACGTGGATCGTTCGGGGTGCGTCAACTCTCTTGACTCTCTCTTCGTCTGCGTCTCTCAAATTGACTAGCTCTCTCAGTGCCTCTGCCCGCCAGGTCGACCAGCGAAGAACTGCTCTGCTGGTGTGCGCGATGCCGTCACTTGGAATATTGCTGTACGCCCGCTCTGCTGTAGCGCAAAACGCGTGTGCCGCGCGACGTTCCCAGCAGCGCCGCGACTCGGATCTCCTGACCAGCGCCGTCTATAGCAAGGCTAGGCTAGCCTACGTGCTTGAGCAACCAAGGTGCGTTCATACAGAACTCAGACAGCCTTCACCCGATTGGTCACGCAGAGAAACATCCTCACAGTTACAATAGGAAACTGATTAACAATACAATCATACAGACAAATAATCGGAATCTAGCGACAGAGCTAGGTTTCTTTGGCTCGCCAAGCATCCTATCATGGTTGGTAACGACAAAAGACGTTTCTGATGACGACAACGTCGACGATACCGTAGGTTTCGGTCGATGGCAATATTGCCGTAAATAAGTGCGAACCGTTCGATGCACACCACTTGGTCCACAATAGTTCACATCGGCCATACGACGGTCCTGAAAAGGCAGTTGATAACAGCAGTGAAGTCAACTACAGACTGTGGATGGAGAAGAGGCGGTGTAGGAGACAGGGACAGAAGGGATGGGTGAAATGGCAGTATCAGTACGAACCCCCTCCCAATTTTCTCGACCTCCCTCTCACACTACCACCACCTTAACTAAT